AGAGTGAGAGAGAGAGAGGGGGGGGAGGGGGGGGAGAGAGATAACGCGTAAAGGGACGTAACGAAAAAATAGATCTGGGAAGTAAACATTGTAATAATAATATAATGTTATTACTTCCCTTATTCCCTTACACATGCCTTTTCCTTGCAAGTTTGTTTCAGTGGAATGTCTCAGAATAGCAACATTAAAATTTATAAAGTTTTCCCACAAAAAAAAGGAATACAACCTGTTTTGTTTTTTCCGTCCGAGGAATGGACTCGTTGTAATAACTTCCATTCCAGGTAAAAACGTCTAGTTTTTTAGATAATTATTGTATAATTATATAATATTTTTCCTTCAGTACAGATGACAGTTAATTTGTTTCTGTTCTCACGATATGATAAGGCTAATAGGAAAGGCATTGTGGTGAAATCAGACGCTTTTCAAAACTGTAAAAAAAACCACACTTTTTTAAAACCCAAACTACCCCTACCCAAAAAAAGGCAATTTTTTTTTTCGCCCCTTAAGCATTTTCTTAAAAGTTTTATTTTTTAATTTCGTTTTAGGCCGAAAACATTTTTTGTGTGTATTTAAACACTAATTTCTGAATGGATTTAACTGAAAATGTTGATCGAAAGCTAAAAAAATGTTGGGCATTTCCAAAGGCCACTGAAACTTTTGAAGACACCAAACTTTGGCGGCTTTTTTCTCCCTAATGTTTTCCTCTGACACCAGGGGACCCCTACCTCGTTCATCAGCAGATATCGAGAGTTTTTTTTCAATATAAATGTTGTTTTTTAAGGCACAAAAGCAAGACATTACCAAGTTTTAGAATGATACCAATTACACTATATGCCCCGAAATTTTACGAGAACTTTCACTGTGTCGTGACACATACTGATAAATATATTTTTGGAATGTTTTGCTAACTTTTTAAAAATGGAACCTTGGTTTTTTTTTCCTTTCAGAATTTGGAGCCCAAGGAATTAGGGTGAATTCTGTCAAGTAAGAATAAAAGAACATAAAAGGAGAGAGAGAGAGAGAGAGAGAGAGA